ACAACTTGCACAGAGAGGGGTGGAAAAAATCGGAATTGACCTATGCCAATGGAGTACATTTTAAAAAGAGGAAATTATGATATGACAGGAGTGAAAGCAAACTGGGGAACATGTAGGAGGAAGTATGAAGGGGACATCTGTAATATTTTGAACAATAAAAATAAACAAAAATTTAAAATGAAAAACAGAAAGAAGTATGGTATTCCAAATTGCTACTATTTTTTTTTTAAACTTCCAGCTTTTAGTTACATTACAGAATTCATCAGACAGTTGAAATTACTGAGCTTAACAGTTAGTTAAGCAACAAACTAGGGGGAAAAATTAGGGTAAATTACATGTAGTTTTACAAAACATATTTTCATTTAAATATTTCATTAAAACCAATCTCTTGAGATTAACTATATAAAGGAGGTAAAACCAGGTTACGCAGATTTAGGCAGTGGAAGCTGGGAATGCACAACTGATATAAGTTTGGTAACATGCTACACGGTGCAGTTTCCTGCTACAGTAGACAAGGGGAAGAAACCCAGTAAGTGGGTTGAGCACAGGAATATTTGCTCACTAATTCAACAGCTAGCAGCTTTATTCATCCTTCCTGACGTTTCTCGGGACCTCTGACAATTCATCCTTTCTTCCAATGAGGCCGTCCGCTATCTCCCCCAAAATAATTTCCGTGCAAGTGGTAAACTCACCCTCACAAACTACTGCTCATTCTTCCGTGACCCCAAGATGGGGAAAGGTCGCCCTGCCAGGGAAGTTATGTAAAGTGGTCTTTCTCAAGGTCCAACCAGCGCTTGCAGCTCCGCAGACACTGCAGAAAGGAAGCCAGAGGCCTCCAGAGAACAGCGGATGAGGCAGAGGATGCGAGCCCTTGAGGCAGGCTCCGTGGTGCCCCGATACCTCTCCATCAGGAGGATGGAGAAAGCGAGGAACCCTCTGCCCTGTCTGGTAATCATAAGCGTGACCGCTTGAGGTCTTTCCAAGGGGCTCAGGGGCTCAAGACCCCCTTCTCACTGCCCCAAGACGACACTGGGGCTTGAGAGCTGGATCCCTCTAGGGCAGAGGCAGGGACGGTAGAGGTAGTGACCAGGTTAACGCAGGGGTTGTCAGATGGGGTGGATACCTCCACTGAGGCAGGAGCCTCAAGAGGCAGCGGCCAGAATGATCAGGGTTGGTGTCCCTAGGGAGACAGCAGTGTACCAGAGGAGCTCCCCATCTGCCTGCCAGCTCCAGTCCAGTCCAGGGGCTGTGTCCAGCCAAGGAGACAGGAGATCTGCAATGCCTTCCCCTGCCCTGGGGCCTGGGAGGGTTGGGCTGGGGGCTCCCCTTTGAGGGTGGGGACTGAGGGAGCTGCTAGGGACATGCCTGGATAACAGAGAACAGTCAGAAGCAGAGCCCAGTGCCCACAGGCTAGAGTAACTCTATAGCTTTCCTCATACCCACACTTGCTGAGGGACTGCCCAGCTGAGGGACCCCAGGCCTCAGGGGCATCAGAATGGGCCGGAAGGCTGCCCCATGGGCTAGAAGCACCATTCGTCTTACTGGGGGATGGTGGGATCAGAAGAGGCACATTCAAGTGAGGTCAGAATTGGGCCCTGCTCCATTCCCCTGAGGGGGTTGAGGAAACCCAGCCCATTCACCTCAACCCCTCTGAGAACCAACCAGGACAGGAAGCACCTGGAGGTTATCAAGGGTGTTGATAATCACCCCCAGATGTCTTCTCACTCACCTCTTTCCAGGCCTAACTCCTGGCAGCAAAGCTAGCTAGTTTGGCCTCTCAGCCTTTTGTACTGGGGCAGGGTACCAAGAGGGGCAGCCAGGAGGAAGAGCCTCACTCAAGCTGGAGCCTTGAGCACCACCCTCCTGTTATTAACTCAGGGCAAGAGACCCATATGTTACCTAGCAAGGCTACCTGAGGCAGAGAGCAAGCCCAGACAGGGCAGGTCTGGGTTAGGCAATAGAGGTGGAGCAGAGCCAGGTGCAGACGTTTTGGTTCCTGGCCCCCCCAGCTGGCCCAGAACCCTAAGGTCAGGACTGGCTTGGGTCTTGACATAGTCCCTGACTTAATGGACCATCAGCAAGTTCCTGGACCTCTGTTTCCCCATCTGTAACCTACCGGGAATGGTCTATGTTGCTCAAAATAGGATCCCCAAACACCTCAGAATTACTAAGGCAGTTTGATTAAAACCCAGATTCCTGGGCTCTGCCTAAGCCAGGTCTTGATGGGGCCGTGAACACCATTTTCCAGGTAATTTTGTTCGAGAAGTCCTGCTTGGATGCAGCCCTGCCCAGGAGCCCTGGAAGATTACAGGGGGAACTGTGGGGCTAGAGCCACATTCAATCAAGGCTGTGTGGGCTCCATTCACTTACTTGAGGGGTGGGGGCACCAGCACACCTAAGTCGCCCCACACATACCTTTCTTGCCCCCAGCTCTTAGACATCAGCACTCTAACCAAAGAATGGAAAGTGCTTTGTGAAAACTGAGGGGTGGTGCCACTGCCTCCCTCACACAGGAGTCCTGGGCAGCTCTGTTCCTGCCCCAGTCACCTTAGGCTGGAGCTCCCGAAGCCACTGTCATAGTTCTTCCCATACAGAGCCCTCAGGTCAGGGCTAAGTCTGTCCCCTCAGACTGGGGCTCCCAGGACAGAGTTGTACCATGGGGAGCAGCCACCTCTTCCCAACATATCCAGCTCTACATAACTTTCACCCAGTCTCTGCACCATTATGGTCCTCTAGGACACAAGTGAATAGATGGACTCAGGTGCTGAGCAGCCCTGCCTATGCCAAGGCCTCAGACTTGCCCTGTATCCATGGTAACATTAGCAAGATGTATGCTAGGGAGCAGGGCTCAATAGGTGTGCAAGGAAGGGTGGAGGAAGGGAAGGAAAAAAGCTTAGAAACAGTCAAATCCAGCAGCGCCCTGGCAGTGAGGTGGGTGAGGCTGTCCTTGGTCTGGGGATTGAGCAGTTCCACCTGTCACAATCCTCTTTCCTCCTATATAAGGAACCTCAGTTCTCTCTACACTTGAGTTTTCTGTAGCCATGGACCACACCCCCTATTCTCCAGGTTCCAAACGGTGTCTTCTGGCCCCACACCTCCTGTTGAGTTCCCTGTACCCCAGACACACAAGGATATTTCCCTTTCCCAAATACTCCTCTAGCCTCTGTACATGCTGCTCAACTCACTGCATTTCACACTTGCTTTTAGCTATCTAATCCTGTTGGTCTTCAAGGCCCACTTTAGGCAGCAACTCTTCTGGGACCCAGGACACCTTCTCATCCCGACTAGGATAGACCTCTCCTGAGCTTCCACAGCATCCTTCCCTCAAGTGGTCACTGTGGTGACTACAGAGTTGGGGTTGCTTATTTCCCGTCCTGTCCATTTCTGTGGGTGAGTGTTGCCACCCCAAACCCTGGTCCCGTGCAAGGCCAGGCTCTAGCTGTAGAAGTCACAATGTAACTGTGTACAGGAAGAATGGTATAACTGAGCTCAGTGAAACCCACAGTTAGGGTCAATCCTGGGCACAGCTGACCACCCCTGGAGTGGAAACCACATCCAGGAAGCCACTTCAGCAGCTCTGAGGACAAACTTTGCAGGAATAGAGCCCACCTAAAGTGTAGAAGGGGCTGTCCCTCAGTGGGATAAGTCACCAGCATGGGGAGTGGGGAACAGCTGGTGGGCATCTCCTTGGTCCTAAGAGGGGTGTGTGCTGGGTCTGGTGACCAGTACTTCTCCAGGGGCCTCAGGAGGCTTTCCTGAGCAGGGGAAGTGGCTGACCAACAGGTATGTGACAAGGGCCCACATGGCCATAGCTAGCTGGGACAAGGTTCCTGGAGAGCCTTCTGGGCTGGGAGCAGGGACAGCTGCAGCCTTTCAGTGAAGGGCTAAGTACCTGGTGATGACATACTAAACCTACCACCCCCAAACACACAGCTGGGTCCCAAATCCAAAAACAACCCAAATGCTTTAATGTTTATGGCCTGTCTCCAAGGACCAGAGCCTTATTACAAACCTTAACTAGGCTGAGGGCCCAGCTTGCCAGCCTCTAGGCTCAGATGAGCACTGCAAGGAGGTAACCCACAGCAGGCCTGGCTGATGGGGCTCCAGGTCCTCAGTCCACATCTTCAGAGACTTCCAGGACTGAGCTGCCATTCAGCCTGTCCTTTCTAGTCCCTGCAGCTGCTTGGCTTCCAGCAAACACACAACTTTCTTGGGAAAATGCACTGGGTGAGGTTTGGTAGCTCCTGGAAGTCACCAGTGTCAATTTAGGACAGGCCTGGGACCTCCCAGGGGTAAGAACAACAGGCCCAGAACAAGGGTGCCAGTCCCAGGCTGTATCCCCACACCCCTGTAGCATGCTAGGGGAAGGGCAGGCTCCCCCAGGGCTGAGGTTTAGGGCCCAACACCAAACACTGGGGCTGTAGCTGCAGGCATTCCTGTGGGATGACTCTACAAAGTATGGGAGTCATATACACTGTACACTGTATCAAAACAAGATAACCAAGTCCTGTGACACATTAAGACTTCCTGGAGGTTCTGTTTGCCTCAGCCTCAAACTCCAGGCACTGGCTGGGATCTGGGCCCCTGTCCTGTGGAGGAAGCAGACAGCAAACCATAACTGGTGTCAGGCATCACCCTCACAACAACCCTGCGAGGTAGGCTGTGTTGTCCTTTTTTTACAAATGGGTAAATAAGGGCTCGAGAAGTGACTTGCCATATTACACAGCAAGAAACATGGGAGCCAGGGTCTGACCCCAAGTCAGTGGGGCTCTAAAGCCCACACGTCTTTTCTCAGGATGAAACAGAAATCAGTCCTTTCTAATAAGGGACCTCAAGTTATAAGCTCAAGGACTCTCAGCCCAGCTGGAGGTGGAGGGCAGGATGAGAACCAGAGAAGCTCCAAGGGTTTATCTCCTGGCCTGGGCAGCTGGGCTGGCAGAATGGAGGGGTAGAGAGAGATTACCAGACAGTAGCTAACCAAACAGCACCAGCCACCAATGCTACAGGAGATAGCTCTGGCCACCCAACAGCTGTGGGCAGGGTGAGGGCAGGGCTGCTCCTGAAGCCTTGTGGCCCTAAGTGAGCAATGCCAGGCCACTAAGCCAGGCGGTTTCCAGCAGGCTTTGGCAGTGGGCCCACACTGTGTAGCTGGGTGGGCTGGCACTGGCATCATGAGCAGGTGAGGCACAGCAGGACCCTCCCCCAGCAGTTGCCTCTGCTTTCTCCGGGCCAGGAGTTGGTAGCTTCCTCCCTGGCTTCCTGGCCTTGGAGATGGGAGACTTCTGAGCCAGAAATAGGCTCTCTGGCTCATCTCTGGCCATGATGGGTTCTGACACAAATCCAGCCTGTGTCAAAGTCACCTGGAAAATGAACACACAGTCATGCTACAGACCCCAACACCCTCATGTCCTATCTCCTGGTCTCCAAAGCCATCTAGACTAGTGGCTCTTCTTTGTCCCAGGCCAGGAGGGTACCAGCAGGGCCAAAGAAATCATGACCCTTCTTCCCTGCATGTGCATGCTGGCCAGACCATTAAGCCAAGCGTGAGTTTCTCCCTAGGTAATGCCAGAGCTCTGTCTGATGACAGCACTGTGCAGAAGCTGTTTGGGTGCAAGGAAAAGAGGAAAGGGGTCTGACAGAGGGCTGGGCTGCACAGAACGCCACCATTTTCTATCACATTGCTGCCAGAGTAGGAGCCCAAGCTCAGGCAGGGACTGCCTTGAAAGCAATGCCTGGAGGAAAGGGGGTGAAGGGAGCAGCAGATGGCATGGGAGGGGGCTCCTGACCAAGAGCACACCTACCTGGGAGAGAAGCTGCCAGGGGAGCCTTGTCTTAAGGACACCACAGAAGGGCAGCACCCCAAAGATGGGGTGGGGAGGATCCAAAGCTCAGGGAAGGAGTGGGGACAGGGACACTAAAATCTAGCTAGCCACAGGAAACTGGACCTGTAATTTTTTCACCAGGCCCCAGACTCTTGCAAGCCCAGTCAGAGCAGGAAGGGACTGTGAAGTGCATGGGCTCCACTATCCAGCAGGCAGCCCAGGAAAAATGAACCTGTCTGTCTCTGGGCCCCAGATAGCCCAACTGTACAGGGAGAAGGTAAGGCTGGGGCAGCCTCTGTGTGATGCTGATCGCCCTGCCCCAAAACTCTCAGAAAAGAATGCTCCCACTAACATTCTTTGTGCCCCATTAGGTGAAATGCCTCAACTTCTTAAGTGCTCAGGGGTCAGCAATGCTTATCACCCAGAGGCTAAGCTCCAGATCTGCTCCTCATTGCCTCAGCTCCTTCTCCACCCCACCTGGAGTTCTATGGAGACACAGCCCAGATAGAGGCTTGGTGGTGAGAAGACAAGGGAACAAGGAAAGACAGAGTGGGCCTTGATGCCAGATCTCCTGAGATAGAAGAGGCAGCAACAGACACCAATGGGCACCATCAACCACACCAAAGGCCTGGAAGAAGTGACATGGCGCACACCATGAGACATGGCAGAAGTCCCCAAGGGTGAGGTGGAGCTACCTGAACTGATCATGCTCCAGAATGTAGAGAGCACACTGGAGAGCAGTGTGCCCAGTGTTAATTGGGAAAAGCAAAGTGCAAAACAAGGTCCCAACTTATTGGGGCAATTCCATGAATGCAAACACCTGGGAAGACTGAAAACTGTATATTCAAAAGGCCACAGTATTGGGGGGAAGTGAGACCCCTGCTGGGTTTCAGGAATTAGGTATTGGGTGAGTGGAGATGCTGTTCACTGGGGTAGGAAATGAGCTTAGGAGAAAACTCAGGCGTGTGGCTTGGGAGGAGTTAAGGGTGAGAGAATTATCAGTTACAGAAGTCCAGCATGCAGTCAGTTATTTGGGGCTGGTGCTCAGAAGAGGGGAGGCTGGATGAGACAGATATGGGGAAATGACCTCAGATAACAAACAGGGCCTGGGCAGAGCCCCAGAGCCCAGAAAAGACTGCAGCAAAGACAGAGAAGGCACAGCAGAGGAGTGGGTGGATCCAGGAGGACACAATACCAGGATGGCCAAGAAAGCATTTCCATGTGGACAGAGTAATTGGCATGTTCAAAGGCTTACAGAGGAGGCTATGAAGGCTCTCATTGATGCTGGGGATAAAGAAGGATGGGAGGTCCATAAAGCCCACCCTGGAAGGCTAGCCACCCCCTCTCTGGCCCAGGTTCTAGGGACTCTCTGCCCTTTCCAGAGGCCCAGGAATCCCTCAGCCCCTGCCTGTGAGCACTCACACAGCCCACACACCTATCACTTGCTCACACAGCTCCTGTGGCAACTGGGGGTACCCCATGTTCACTCAGCTGGCGGCGTACACAGTCACGCCACTGCAGGCCCAGCAGGTCAGGGTATATGTCAGGCAGCTGGCGCAGTGCCAGCAACTTCAGCATGCGTGAGGTACAGCCATGCAGGGCTCGCTCCCGCAGTGCCCTCTCCTCTGACAGTGTGGTGGGCCGGAGCTCCACGCGGTGCTCCTGCAGCACGTGGTCCACAGAAGCAGGCGGCAGCCTCGGGAAGAGCTGCTCCTTCACCAGGTGGATGGGCACGAAGATGGCGCCAGCCCGCACCACGTGGGGGAAGGGGCACTGCTGCGTGCACACAAAGCGTTGCAACTGGGACAGCAGCTTGCCCAGCAGCCCCTGCACTGCCTGGCCATCCTGCCATGCTGCCTGGCCCCAAGGCCCAGCCATCTCAAGCCATTCGCGTAGCTTCTCAGGTGGGGAGTGGGCCACTGAGCCCGAGATGGCATCACACAAGGATTTATGCAGTCCTGCAAAGTGTTGCTCTGGGGAATCCACTGTGACAGGGGTAGAAGCTGGAGTTGGAGCCTGGGCTGGAGCAGGTGATGGAGCCAGAGTAGGTGCTGGGGTGGCCACGAATACACCTGGAGAACTGGGCAGTGCCAAATCAAAGCAGGCCATGGGCAAGGGCTGTTTGAGAATCTGTAGTCCAGTGGGCACAGATGTAGGGGTGGGTGCAGGCTGGTCAGAGGAAGGGACTGAGGTGGGCCCAGATGGGACCATAGCTGCAGACAAGGGTGCCGGCCGGAGGATCTTGAATTTTCGGAACATGAAGGCCACAGAGCTGTGGAAGTTGGTCTTTGGGATGGTCTCTGTGGCCATTGGCACCCCAGGCAGCTCCAAGACTGCACTTCCTGCATCTGGCACACCCACAGTTACAGGGAGCTTGGAGTGCACCGCAGGACCAGGGACCTTGATAGGAGGAGCCTCTGCCATGGGTTTCTTCACACTCAAGTCCAGTGCCACTTCCTCCCTAAGTGAGCAATGCACCCTCAGAGGGGCCTCTTGGGTAGACAGGGTTCCCCTGGAGTCTTTGTCATAGCTGTCCTTGGGGACTGGGGCTGGATCAGGCTCAGATGTGGCCTCGGGTGTCTGCACATCCAGATAGTCACGGTAGGGGGCCAGGCTGAAGACATTGTCAATAATGGGCATGGGTGGAGAGCCAGGGGGCAGTGTGCCTTGGTTCTGTAGAAGAGACTGGTGCTCTTGGGCACAGGGTGGGAGTGTTGGTGGGGTGCGGGGAACTGGACTATCTCTGATAACAATGGGTGCCCCGGGGTGCTCGTTGAGCTGGGGTTGGAGCTGCTCTTTCCTGCAGCTGGGCAGCCGTATAGTCTTCTCAGCATCCTGCACCGGCTTCTCAACNGGCTGAAGACATTGTCAATAATGGGCATGGGTGGAGAGGCAGGGGGCAGTGTGCACCCTGGTTCTGTAGAATAGACCAGTGCTCTTGGGCGCAGGGTGGGAGTGTAGGTGGGGTGCAGGGAACTAGGTAATCTCCAATAACAGTGGGTGCCCCGGATGTTCATTGAGCTGGGGCTGGAGCTGGAGCTGCTCTTTCCTGCAGCGGGGCAGCCGTATAGTCTTCTCAGCATCCTGCACCAGCTTCTCTGTAGGCCTTACAGGCTCTGCGCACGGCTGACTGGCAGGCAAAGGCTGGCATGCTCGCTGGAAGGCACTGGGCTGTGGCACAGCCTGAACACTATTCTGGGAAGGTAGTGTCCCCCTGAGCCCCGGGGATGCTCCACAGACAGAAAGGTCATCCCGTGCATAAGGAAGGCCCAGTGCCTGGGGGGCAAAGTCCAGTGGGCACTGTGGAGTGAGAGGTGGCTCTAGCTTGAGGCCTGGTGAGGGTACTGGGAGGGGGACAGAGGGGTAGGAATAAGTGTCCAGCCCCACTGCGGGCATACAGGGTGTCTGGGCTGTCTGCTGCCTCAGGAAAGGGCTATTCAGCTCACTGGCTGGGTACCCAACTCCCTTGTGGGCTCCCAGAGGCTGTGGTGGGGGTACTGAACTGTAGCTGCTCTGCTTCTCTGGATGGCGACAGGCTGGAGGGCAAGACAGGGCCTGTGGAGGGTGAGGCAGTGCGTAGTGGGAGGACACTGTATCCTGGTAGGCTGCCCCCAGGGGCTGAGCCAGCTGGGTCCAAGCACTGGGGGGTCCCTCAGACAATGCCCGCTTGGGGTCCCCAGAGTAAAAACCTGCATACTTGGAGGCTAGGAAGCCTGTGCTGTGGTTGGTCTGATACTTGTCCAGGAATACCTGGCATGAGGAGAAACTCCCTGAGGAGTCCTTGCCAGATCCCCCAACTGGCACCCCATGCAAGAAGGTACCGTCCACGGACTGGCCCTTGCCAGGAGCCAGAGTCAGAGAACAATGGGGGTTGGCTGAGGGTAATAGGGACCCAGTCACCAGTGTCCAGTCAACATCCAGTGACCTCTTCACTGCCCCATCCCCCAGGCAAGTCGAGAGTCCATAACACAGAGGGCTGCGATAGATAGGTTTGGGTGCTGCCAGTGGTGGGCCTGAGTAGGAATGAGCCTGGGGACTAAAGGGCAGGAGGTCAACAGGGCCAGAGTCCTGCACCTTCTCAGAGTTTCCTGCTGATGGGTGATAGACCAGGCAGCTGGTGAACAGGCTGTCTTCCCGAAGTGGGGGTCTTGCTACACTGGTAGGATACAAAGGTGGATATGGGGTCCAGGATGCCAACCGCTCAGACCCTGTTTTGGGAGCCCCCCCCATGGGGCAGAAGTAGGCACTCTTGTAGTTGCACGGGTCCTGGTAAGCAGCAGAGGGGCCCAAACTGTGCCCGGGTCCAGAGTTGGCCTCTAGACGGGGCAGCTTGCCGTACATCACAGGCCCCAGGGTGTCCAGTGGCCGTTTCTCTGCCATCACTGTGAAAACGCTTCAAGCCCTCCGGGGCTCCAGCTACTCAACTGCTGACCTGGGAGAGAGAGGGAGAGAGACATGGGCCATCAGAAGAACAGGCTACAGGCAAGTAATAGAGGGCTGCTGCTCTCACTGGCTCACTGCCACACCTAAGAACTTGACACTTAGTAGATGTGCAATAAAGACTCTATGAATTAATGAATGCATGAGCTATATAATGCAGAGGTTCGAAACTTAATATTTTAAGCTGCAGAACCCTTTGTTAATGAATTCTTGTGCAGCAGCCCTACACATACTCCCCCACCTCCACTCCAGGAGCCCCTCTGTTTCACTTTCCTCCACATGACTCCCAAGAGACCTTCCTTGGGCTTTCAGACTGCAGGGCACACAGTCTGAGGAGGATCACTTTGTAGGCTACTCCCTTCCCTCATATACAGATAAGGAGGCCTATTCAATCCCATGTAACTGATGAGAGAGATAGGATGAGAGACAGGCTTCTGACCTCCCATGACAAGATCTTATTCCAAGATCCCACAGTGATCTCAAGATGCCCACTGCAGCCAAGATATAGAATTGTCTACAAATTCAGATTTCCTGTGACACTCTCTATATCTGTTTCAGGAGAGGGCTATATATGCAAAGCAGTCCCCACACACCGAAGGGGCTGGGAACAAAGAACAAGGCAGACAAGGACAGCTTGTCGGTTAATGAGTTTAAAAGGGAGCTTATGTAGAGAAACGCAGTCCTGGACAGCAGCAAGACAAAATGGATCCCCACCCCATTCACCCTCCCACCCCCAGACCATGTGCTTATATCTCCTAAGCAGTGAGAATATGTGAATAATCAAAGGGATCAGGTGCCGGGAGGCTCTGGTGCCAGAGCAAGTCAAGAAACAGATAATATTGAGGGTTTCTCACCCTGGAGAGACAGAACTACTGAAAATCCTATGATCAGCCCAGAGCTGTGTGTACATATTCCACAGCTGACCTGGGGAAAGTTGAGGGGGTCAAGGGTCCAGGTTCACAGAAGTCAAGAGGGCATATTACCTTTAAGATGCAGTCACTTATGCTCCACACAAGATCTGACCTGCCAGTCTTATAAAAAATGGCAAAGCTAGGCCTGGAACCCAGGTCCCTAGGCCCAGAGCAACACAGATACTGGGCTTGGTTCTGGAGGGTGGCCCCCAGGAGAGGTGGCCAGGTGCATCACTTTGCATAAGCCACACCCCTCCCACCCTAGCCCCACCAAGGCTGTCCTGCAGATGGTGCTGTGTCATCAGCAGGAAGGTCCCAAAATTGTAGGGGAGGAAAGCCTGTGTCCATCCCAGTCCTTAAGCTACAGTTGGCTGTTCCAAGTCACATGGTGACAGCACAGCACCAGGACAAGCAGGTAGGGAGGTGAGAGGAAGTGAATATCCACAGGGAGCCTCCAGGGGGCACAGAGTGATAGTTAGCAATTACCTCCATTGTACTGATGTTAAAACTGTGCCAGAGAAAGACTAAGGCCCTGAAGCAAAGCCAAGCAAAGACTGGGACCCAGGCCCAAAGAGGCCAAGTGTGGGTTTCTTCAAGGTGGTCATGAGGTCAGTCTGCTAGGACCACATTGACCTGCCTCTACCTCCTCTGGTGCCCTGTTCCCTGAAACCCTCAGCTGGCACAGAAAAAATGAATCAGCTCAATCTTGCTATGATTAGGCCACGAGCCAGGTGTCACAGGTTTCCATCACCAACAAGCTAAGAACAGCACCCTGTCCCAGACCTCTCCTCCCTTCTGGCTTGTAGCCAATGACAGCCACAGGCTCAGAGTTAGACCAGCATATTTTGGGGACAGGAAAACCCAAAGGTAGTATGGGGGAAAGTACCCATTCCCATTCCCAGGGTAACTGCACCAAGGAAGCCAAGTGGGAGTCTCAGAAAGTTGGTTTATCTCCTGGCCAGAAATTGACACCTCCAGAGAAGGCAGAACAGGGCATCAGGACCACAGTTTCAACAGCAGTGGCCTATACTAGGGACCTCCATCCTATGGGAACATAGCTTTGCATGATAGAGTTGAGTATGGTTGTGGGGTTCTGAACCTCCCCCTCTGCCCTCATGAGCTCTGGAGTTAATTAAGTGCTGGCTCTGTCTCACCCTCCCCACATGCTCCTTGGGGCCTCCTCCATACTCAGTCCCAGTCCCAGGAGTCCTTCTTTCCTGGGCTCTGCCCACTGTGTGCTCTTTGCCCCAGAGACTCCCTGAGATTCCCCTCAGGGACCCAGCCAAGAAATGTGAAGCCACCCGGGGACCCTCAGGAGTCTTTAGGAGAGAGGGGTCTCCAGGGAGCCATCAGAAGACTATGAAGAGTATAGGGATGACCCTACCTCCTGCGAGCAGAAGATGGAGAGCCCAGGATATACTCTCTCAAGTGAGGTCGTTCTCCACTCAAGAGAGTAGCCTCCTTCCATGACACACACATACTGAGGAAGCAAGCAATTGCTTGGAGAAAGGTGGGACCCCAGGGAGCAGGGTCACATCACCCTTTGGGCCATCACACTGTTTGCTGGCTGAGGCTGAAGTTGGGCTGGGAGGCACGTCAGCCAAGGCCCAGAGCAGGGTCTAGAAGAGCCCACCAGTGCCATCCGGGGCCCTAAGCAGCAGGGCAGGCAAACAGCTCCGTGGCCCAATTCCCTCTCCCACCTCTAGGGGTTCCCTGGATGGAGGATGGGAAAGACCAGGAAGAAAGGAGTGATCCTGCCCAGCTGTGGCCAGTGTCTGGCCTTTCTCAAAGGACTGAATAGGGCCTCCTCCCCTGTTCTCACACTTCCTCCAGCTGAGGTTCTGGGACCCTGCTATGCCCAGAACCGAGCCTGGGCAGCCCAGGCTGCAGTGGAGGGAGGAGGGTTGCGGGATTGGCCTCCACCAGCTTTCCTCTACCTGCCCTGCCCAGACTCTGGTGCCTGGAGCCCTCAGCGGACCTGGCTTTGTGGCTTCCGGGTGTTTCCATGCACTGGGGCGCACGTGTACCCCAGCAGGCTGATATACAGGCTGCCACCACGCATACAAACCCGTGCCAGCAAGTATGTGCATGGCCCACCTCTGTACACACGCCCCACAGAACTGCTCTCCCCTCGCTCGGGCCCCGGCACACGTGTGCACGCAGGCTCCCCGCATCCAGCCCCACAGACCAAAACCCAAAGACTGGCGGGACATCCGGAACAGGGGGCGGCCCGGCAACAGAATCCGGGGAGCCACC